AAGTTTAATATATTCATTTATATTTACAGTATTTAAATATACAATATAAAATACATCAAAATTCACCATACCTTATTGCTTTCATCTATGTTCATTTTATCTATTTCTTCTTCACCATTAATTGTATTAGTAGTGGGGTCAAAGGCATCTGTAATACCATCAGTATTATCGGCAGCATTTTTTGTAGAGCTAGTGTCATTATTTGTGAAAAGAACAACAACACCACCAGCATTATCCTTTCGTTTCTTCTTTTCTCTTGTAGTTTTAGAAGAATCTTCATGATTGTCATAAGACCTTTTGTTAATTCTGGAAACGCGAGCTGCTGGTTTTTTGTCAATGCCATCTTGCTTTCCTTCCCCTTCCCTTTCCTTATTATCATTAATAGCAGTGATAGTTTCATCATTTTTACTAGACCTCTTGTTGGTTGTTCTAAAAGTACGATGAGTTCCTGGTTTTTTGTCATTTTCATCATTAACATTAACATTGTTGTTGCTACTGTTGTTAATTTTTACTTCATTACTAACATTTTGATCACCATTAACTTCTTGTTTATCATCTTGTTGATCACTATTAACCATTTCTTTATCACCATCAACCTCTTGTTTATGATTATCAGTCACTGCATTTTTATCATCATCATCATTACCTATTTTACCAGGACTTTTATTATTGCTGGTATTTTTATCATCATTCACTGACTGATCCTTGTTATTGACAGATCTTTTGTATGTTCTGCGAGCACGAATTATTGGTTTCTTGTCAGAACTACTATTATCAGCATTAACATCAGATTCCTTCTTGATTGATCTAACACCATAACCAGTTCTTGGTTTTTCAACATTTTCATCGCCGCCTTCATCGTTATCATTACTATTGTTAATATTTACTTCATCGCTGGCATTTTGATCATCATTAGCCACTTCTTTATTATCATTAACTGCTTGTTTATGATTTTTAGTGGCATCTTTATCGCCACCATCATCACCATCACCACCATCATCATTATCATCACCATTATCATTATTATCATCATTATCATCATCATTGTCCACTTTATCAGAGCCTTCGTTATTGGCTTCTCTATTATTATCATCATCATTATCATCATCACCATCATCATCATCAATATCCATTTTTTTATCTTGATTTGCATCATCGCCAGATCTAGATTGTTCTCCTTCTAATTCCATAGCAGGATCAGAATCAACCTTGATATCATTTTCATTATCGTTTGTTACAGATTTTTCCTTTTTTTTATTTATTTTTTTATCAAGAGATGAAATTTTCAAGACTTTTTGTAACGATTCAACTAGTTTTTTATTGGTTTTTTTCTTAATCATATCCTTTGCTTTATTCATATCAAATTGTTTGATATCTTTCTTATTAACAAATCCACTATTATAAAATGATAAATCATTAGCTACTATTTATTATATATATTGATATATGTGTGTATAAGATATAAATGCACAACGTAGA